TTAAGTTTGTATTTCTTTTCTACTTTGCGTGGAAATGCTTATTGTTAGTTTATTGGCAACTTTTATGTTTCGTCCTTCACGCACCTGGTAATTAATTAAATATTTTGTTTACTTTTTTCTTTCTTTTTCTCATTGAATTTGTGAATGTGTGCGAAATTAATTATTTAATAGTTCCAATTATGAAAAATAATTGTTACTTTGGGTGTTAAAATGAAAATTTTTATGATTATTTACGTCATAATTTTCAATGGGAGCAGGACAAAGTGCAGCGATGCCAAAGTATCACCGAGCTATCCTCAACGCTTGGGATGGCGATAAACTCATTAAGATGCATTGAACCATACCACGGCGTCCCGGATTCTATAATTATGAACGAAGTTATAGCAGGCAGTCTCGAGTTAGGGTAATAACCCTTCTCCATGATTAAATTGATGAAAGAAAGAAAAAGGGAAACGAAATATTTAAATAACAAATTTTTATTTAAAAATTAATGGTTTTTCAAAGGTTCTTTGACAAATTCCAACATCACAGTATAGGCAGAGGATGTCGTATAGGAGATAATAATGGAGCAACTATTAATGGAGATTTAAGATTTTTGGAAAATGGGATAGAAAGAAGAGAAAATACTTTACCAAGAATAAATTTTAATGAGAGTTTACGTCTTGAACAGGTTCTTTTTTAATTACTAGAAAAAGGGGAAGAGTAAAAGTTTACCACCGGGCAGCCAACCCCCTGGCAGTCATTGCATGTACGTTCGCTCACCACAAGAGGGAAGCAAAATTTTAGCTATCGGCAGCCATTGCTCCTCAACCTCTTGGCATTTGTTGGCAGGCGCTTTTCGCTCACCACGTACAGGGGGTGCTCTACTGCTTGGGCTGTCGGGGTTGCTTCCACGTTCTCTTTTTAACTCTTAAACCCCTGCCTAGTAAGCGTTTTAACTTGCCAGATGGATCTTCTACTCTACCTTATAATTATAAAATAATTTTATTCTTTTAAAAGGTTCGATTAAATGGAAGTGGAAATACAATATCTACAGAAACTGAAGAAGAAAATAATGGAATTATACATAAAGAAGAAAGAAACAAAACAATTAGAAGGGTAGAAAGTTGTAATTAAAACATGTTTGGTGAAGTAAGTTTTTTTTTAATTAAAAGGCTTCAATTAAACAATGAAAATTTAAAAATATTTTTTACGATCTCATTTAAAAGAAATATATATTTTAAAAATATTATTCCATATTGTGAATTGTAACTGCCGTATTTTCTTTTCCCGTAGGCGATTATCCGGTCCGAATCCAGGTAAATTCTGCCGAACTCAATAAATTACTACTTTTTACCGGATTAAAACCCCAATCTCTGTCATGGGAAATTAATTTAAATTGGGGAATTATTCGGGGGGGGGGGGGGGGGTTAATCGAGAAAATACGGTTTTCGGCAAGTCTGCGGGTATTTTAACGTCTCATTTTACTTTTTTTTTCATTTTATAAAAGTATTTCAATTTTATTTAATTTTTATTTCAATTTTTATTCCTAAATTTCAAATTTTCTTTTCCATTGCATAAACCACAGGCCCATCTACATTCTCTATGCATATAAGTCTGTTGGGTAAAGGAATTATATTTAAAAAAATTTTTAATTTACCGGATTTAAATTACATTCTCCTTTATTTACCCAAAATTTACAAGATTCTGGTTCTCTATCAAATATTTGACAATTAATTTCTAAAAAAATTAAAAATTTAGGTTCCTAAAAAATATTACAACCTTTTAATGATGACAATAATTCATTATCTTTATTTCCCATTTCAGATTTTTTTGCCTGTAAACGAACAGGCTTTTCCTCCATTTTATTAAACGTTTCGCTATCAACCTTTTTTTAAAAAATAAAAAATATCTATCTATGTATTTTTAAGCGTGTCAGAGCAAAATACCGTTCGACTAAAACACCGTCCGACACATGCAAAAATACTGTTGTCCACTTCACATTGAGTAAACAACTTTTAAAATAAAATTTTTAGGTTAAAAACATCCGGATGGTGTTTTGGTCTGACGGTGTTTTGCCCCTACACATTTTTAAGAAAACTTTTTAAAAAACAAACCAACAATTGCCCAAATGGAAATATTTTTTCATTTGAATTATTTTTTGGAATTTCTCCAATTTTTCGATTATTTTGTTGATTAACAGCAGCAATTAAATGTTCAATACGAAAAAGGCCTAAGGCTATTTTTAACGCCATATTTTCTTGTACAAAATTTAACATGCATAAAGGGGGTACTAAAATAATTTCAAAAAATATTTTTTAGGTAAGAATTACCAGAAAAACATTTGGGCCATTCTTTTTCTGATTGGGATGGTCTCTTTCCACAAGCCAAATGAGGAATATCTAACGGATTTCCACATATTGTGGCGCAATCAGACTTTATAGAATCAACTTCTTTTAGAAAGAAAGGTGTATCTTCATCGAAATTCTGAATGGCACCTTTTAAATTTTTTTAAGGTTTAATCTTTGAGAAATCAACAAGGGATCAACCCTGAGGACCTACATTCTGCAGATCTATTGACCCTGAAGACCTATTTCTTTTGAAAGTGAAGATGGGGGATTAAGAGATAAGTGCCCAGCTCTGGTGAGTAAATAACTATTCCCTTCTAATCACACCAAATCCATCGATACTCTATTAATTCTTCCAAATCCCCTGATATTCCCCTTCAAATGTTGTAGGTTTTCAGCATTTAGGGTGTAAGTCTTCAGGGGGACTCATTAACATAATTTACTAAGAAAAATCCTCCTGAATATCACTTCAAAATTTATAAATAATACAAATTCACTCTTACAAATGTGAGAATTCTGTTCCATCCATTTATAAAAATTAGAAAATTGATTATTATCTAGGTTAATTATATTAGAAACTGTTTGATCATCATCAGAAATAATTAGTCTAATTAAATCGTAGAAAAGGACAATTTGGGAGAGAAGGATAGCCGTACAAGGCATTGCCGAAAATAATTAATTTTCGAATAAAAATTCTAAAAAAATGAAAAACAAAGCTAATAATAAATTAACATTTCAACACCTATCACACACAATGATTAATTGTTCACAATAAAAAAAGAAAATAGGCCCGATTATCAAAGTCAAATAGAAAAAAATTAGTAATTAACTGGCGATGGGTCCTTAGTCAAACTTTTTTTGTCCTTTGTTTTTTTGAATGGTTAGAAAGCATAATATTGTTTCACACAATTTCCCAGCTATGGCGTAGAAAATTGTTTTAAATGTTCATGTGAGAAAAGGATGGAACAAATAATTTTTAAAAAATGGGGCCAAAAAGCCAAAACATATTCTCATATAAATTTTGAAGTTAGTCCCTGGACTCCCCAATATTCCCAAAAGTTGAAATTTTACCCAGAAAATTCCCAAAATAATTAATGAACCTTCAAAATGTCTTTACAATTTTTATTTAAACAAAATTTCAAAAAGACATTTTTAAATTGAAATCCATAAAATAAAAATTATCATATGCCTGGGTCATCCGCATCTTCTAAGTCGTCATTTTTGTGCGGATACTAAAAAATAAAAGCATATAATTTTCATCATAAAAAGTAAAAAAATATTTACGTCTCATGACTAAGTAGTAGAATGTTGTTGCGGTTGCACATTTTTGTTGTAAAAAATGCTATGTTTTGTATGCGCCTTCCGACCTCCTCCTCCTCCATCACCAACGCTCTGTCGTCCAACGCTTCCAGAAGCACTTCCAGCAGAATATCCACTAGTACGGACTGGAGGTGCATATCCACTTGTACTCATACCAGACTTATTGCCTTAAATAAAATAAAATTATTAACCATATTTCAAAAAGTAAGGGATAGAATAAGGAAGAAGCTTACGCTTTCTCGTGGGAAGTAAGAAAATAAAATATTAATTTTGCCACCCCTCCCTCATTAAATAAATCATAAGATAAAAATATGAGCTAAAGATCTAATGATTACCTCCTACACCAACAAAATTTCCTTCATTTCCTCCGCCACTAGAATGGCGTTGATGACGTACCATGTCGCCTCTTTGTCCAAAATTTTTATTATTATATCCGCCGCTACGAAAGTTCTGTTGTTGATGATAGTCACTTTTGCGATAATTGTTTTGAGGAACAAAAGGATTGCCATCACTACCATTTTTCAATGCAGGATGGAGCGATTGCTTCTCAAAAAGATTTGCAAATTCAGTCGACTCGTCGCGCTCGCGTTTAACTAAATTTCAAATATTAAAATTGTACCACAAAATCAAAAAAAAAAGAAAAACAAACTTCTACTGCAATAATTCCAAATATGTCCAATAATCCCGCACTCTTGACATGGAACTTGATTGTTTGGATTTTGAGTTGGTTGCATATAAGTCCGAACATCTTGAGACTGTTGATGTTGAAAAGGTCGATTGAACTTGTTGTTATTATTGTTGTTGTTATAGAATGAACCACGAGAAGCATTCTGACCAACACCATTTTTGTTCGAAAAAGAGGGAGGACGATCTGAAGTAAAGTAAAAACCTTTATTTTGCGAAGATTCCTCACACGAAAAAAGTCAATTCACAAGGATGGACTTTTTTCACTTTCCTCAGTCCCCGATTTTATATCCCCTATGACATTCTCTAATGAGCCATCGATAAAAGTGATTAAATCTTATTCAACAAGTTCACAGGGATAGAAAAGTAAGTCTTACAAGACATTTTTTCTTTCAAGAAAACAAAAAAAGTGGAATTATCTGCACTTTTACCAATTTGAAAAATATAAATTCAATAAAAACATACTCTGTGGTCTCTTCCGAGGATCGTTTCCAACATTAATTTCCTCCGTCTTATTGAGAGGTGCATTATCAGATTCCTTTACTTGTTCACCTCTCGCATTGTTTGCAGGTGCTGGCGGAGTCAGACGCTGATTTTGAGGAGACGGGTTAGAAGAGAAAGCAGCGGATTGTCTCCCACTTTGACTTCCGTCGCGCTGCTGTTCACCACCAGTACCTTCAGAACCCGGAGCTTGAATGCTTAGTGGACGCTTTTCTAAAAGAAAATCAAATTGAAAATATTTTTTGATTAAAAAAACCTTTCACACAAGTCTGCTGTTGAAATTGCGGAGATTGATGGTGTGGAGGAGCAGACTGCGGCGGGGGCTGCTGATGCAGATGCGGAGGTGGCATCTGTGGAATCGTCTGCTGCATTAATTGTTGGTGCAACAAAGACGGGGCTGCCGAAGTTTGATGAGATGGCATTGGCATCTGCTGTTGAAATTGGCGATCAATAAGCGGTGGCAGCGTCTCAAAATTTGGTGGCGGAGCAGCAGAATTAGGCATCGCCGACGCAACCATAAACACAGGCTGCTGCTAAAAAATATTTAGAGAATATAGAACATATACAAAAAAATTTGAAAACAAACTCCAAAAGGTTGTTGTGGAATTCCAGTATTTACTGCATTAGTAGCTGGTTGTTGTTGCTGAGGCGGAAGATTACGCAACTGTTGATGGGTTGCAGGATTGTATCCATTAATATGAGCTCCATTAGCATTGGTGCTTGGACCGCCACCCCCTCCTCCACCATTAGAAAAAGTTCGAATATACTGCGTGGTAGAGCCAGTCGGAATCGCACCAGTTTGTGGTTGAAACGGCTGACCCTGTATTTTATTAGAATTAAGATAAAATTGATAAAGTAAACTAACATGGATAGAAAACGGCTGTGGCGGCGGCTGGTAAGGATTGGTGCAAATAGAAGTTGGCGGAAGCATCGGTGGCGGAGTTTGCGGAACCAACATAAAACCCGGCATACCCTGAAAAATAGAAATAAATTTGAATTGATGAATCGAAAATAAATTACTCCAACAAAAGGCTGCTGGCCTGCAGTTGACTGTTGTGGATGACGCATATGAGTAGGGACAGCCAAAACATGCAAATGCATGTTTTGTATGCGGATATGCCTTGAAGTGAGAAGCCCAAAAATGGTGTTTTTACATAGGTCCGAGCACTTAAGGACCCGGTTCTTAATGCATATATTTGCATATTTCGGCCCTCCCGTGCATATTTGCATATTTGTGCATATTTTGGCAAATTTTGCATATTTTGGTCCATATTTCGGTATTTTTTGGTAAATTTTAGTAAAAATCGCCGAAAATTTTCAATTTTTCGGATTTTTTTTGGTAAAAAAATTTTTTATAAAAATTTTATAAAAAAATTTTTTCGAAAAATTTTTCGGAAAAATTTTCTTTTGTTAAATTTCTATGCAATAATCTTAATTCCATAAAATCTTCTAAGAATTTTCTTAAATTGCGGGTTTAAAGGCTAATTTCTTGTTTTTTGGCTTAAAATATTGATCTTTAAAGCATATTTTAACAATTTTGGTGCATATTTCAGTGCATATTTTGGCAAATTTTGCATATATTGGTGCATATTTTGGGCTTTTTCGGTGCATATATATGCGCATATTTGGCAATTTTCCGTGCATATTTTGGCTGTCCCTACATATGAGACATCTGCTGAGGCTGTTGCTGGTTTGTAAAAAATGGAGCAGTGTTCGTACGCAACATCCAAGCCTGCCCAGTAGGATGTATATTTGGATCAGTAGTATTCGCCAAAGTGAAATGAGTTTGCGGATGCTAAAAAAGTTATATGACAAAAATAAGGTGGGATGTCTAATGGTTTTATGCTGAAATCGATCACAGAAAGCAAACCGAGGTTAAACCAAAAATCAATACCTGAAAAGGTATTCCTTCTTGTGGTTGATACACAAAAGGTTGAGGTTGCTGATGGGCCGCCTGAATTCCAGTTTGATTTTGATTTGTGTACATCAATGACTGTTGATGCATTGATGCAGTCGTAGGTGGCGTACTTACTGCAGAAAAATGCGGTATCATTTCAAGTTTCTTTATTCACTTAAAAAGTCTACAAAATTTATTGAATGAATTATAAAATTGTCAAACCCAAATGAAAATTACAAGTGCAAAAGTAAAGGACAAAACTCAAAATTTATTCGATAAAAAGGGCCACTAGAGTGCCGCGACTATAGAACATCCACTAGAGTACTAGAGAGCGAGGCCATTAGAGAACGAGTTAAGAGCGAGATCACTAGAATGCCGTCTTTATAATTAGGCGAATTATTAGGCGAAAAGGCAGAAGCGAAAGATCTGATCCAGTCTAATAAGCATGAAAAAATATTGTTGAAATTCTCGCGACCTCAAATTGAAATTCTCGCGACTATACTGAAACGTCCATTACCATTAAAATTTTAAACAGAATGCCAATTTAAATTGACAGTAGTTTGAAAGACAATTTAGTCTGAATCGGATAATTTGTTAAAATTTTCCTATTTATTTTGTTCATTTTGGCTTTTATAAATAATTTTATATTTAGTGCTTATTGTTAGTTTAACAAAGATAAAAAATGTCTGAACGTGCTGGATTTCAAGCTGGGTTTGGTGGCGCTCCACCGGCAGGTGCTGCAGCCGGAGGACGTGGTGTGCGTGGTGGAGCTCGTGGAAGAGGAGGGCCTCGTGGTCGAGGTGGACGTGGAGGTCGTGGCAAAGATGCGGAGAGAGAATGGCAACCCGTTACTAAGCTTGGACGTTTAGTTAAAGAGAGAAAAATAACAACGATTGAAGAAATTTATCTTCATTCTCTTCCAATCAAGGTATTGATTTTAATCGATTGTCAAGTCAGACATATTTAACAGGGATGTCACGGGTTGGGGGGAAAGTCGGGTTTCGGGTGGAGTCTTCAAAATTTTCCTCGGATCGGGTATCGGGCCAAAAAATGTCAGGGTTTTGGAAAATTTTCGGATTGGGTATAGAATCGAAGAAAAGTCCGGGTAGCAGTTTTCAAGTAATCCTTGTCATCCCTGATATTTAATCATGCGTATCTGATTTATAGGAATATGAGATAATCGATCTGTTGCTTGCTGATAAGAAGCTTAAAGATGAGGTGCTTAAGATTATGCCTGTACAGAAGCAGACTCGAGCAGGTTTTATTTAAAATACCTTTAAAATTAACTAAAATTTAAGGTCAGCGTACTCGTTTCAAAGCTTTTGTTGCAATTGGAGATGGACAAGGACATGTTGGTTTGGGTGTTAAGTGTTCAAAGGTTTCTTAACTTAATCGAATTGTTAATAACTCGATGTTTAGGAAGTAGCGACTGCTATTCGTGGAGCAATCATTGCTGCTAAACTGGCAATAATCCCTGTTCGTAGAGGCTATTGGGGAAACAAAATTGGCGATCCTCATACTGTTCCTTGCAAGGTTTGTCAGAGGATTTTTTATTAGAAAGGATTTTAAAAGCATTTTAGGTCACTGGAAAGTGTGCTTCTGTACTCGTTCGTCTTATTCCTGCTCCAAGAGGAACTGGCATAGTCGGGGCACCTGTTCCGAAAAAATTGTTGCAAATGGCGGGAATCGATGATTGCTACACCTCAGGTTTTATTTCAAGACTAAAAATCATTTTTTATAATTTTCTAGCTGTTGGCCAAACCGCAACCCTTGGAAACTTCGCTAAAGCTACCTACTATGCAATTCAACGCACATACTCTTATTTGACACCAGATCTGTGGAAAGAGAATACTTTGCCTAAAAATCCTCTTGATTGTAGTACTGGAACAACGGCTCCGTGAAACAAAATAAAATATTGAAAGGAAGATGAATTGAGTTTTAATTAAAAAATGTTTTGGGATTATTATGACTGTTATATTTGAGTATAAATTATGTTGTTATTAAAATGTTTGACTTTTTTTTAATTCCCTAAGTACGTACAGTTTCTTTTACGATTTATTAGGAAAGGACATAGGTTAGTGCTATTCATCTTTGAGATTTGTAATTCCATTAGAAACTAGAAAACCTCACACCAGTCAGTAATGCTTCGGTTTACTCCCCCTATTTCCTATTTCGCTGATCATTTCGAGCTCTTTTGCTTATCAAATCTCATTTGAACAAACTCATTGAGGATGGCTCGAATGATACCAAGATCGGTTAGATTTGATGATTCTGAACAAAACTAAGAAGCTTAATCCTCGATACACTGAAGGCTTCAAAAAATTAAAAAAATTCACTCAAGGCAATGAAAAATTAAATTTAAAATTAAACAAAAAATTTAACAAAAAAATCCAAAAGTATTTGAGTCACAATAATCCGACTAGTGACCGGCAAAATCGCGTTTGCGGGATCCCACGGGATTAATTTTTTTAAGTCTGCGGGACGGGACCCCGCGGGATAAATCCCGCACTCCCGCAAATCGAAAAAAGTGCAGGATTACGGGACGGGATCCCGTCCCGCGCCGGTCACTAAATCCGACTTCAAAATTTTAATTTTTACAGCTGTTCTAGCTCGATAATGGTTCGGGCCTTCAACAATTACGTAGAGAGCAATCATTTTTGTGGTTGTGTCCATCTTTAATTTTAATTTTTTAATCAAAATTTTAAGTAAAATTTACTAAGAAGAATTTGATAACAAAATAATTAATAATCCAATTTTTATTTGTCTATGATTTTCTGGACCCATACCGAACATTGAGGAAGTTGTTCCGAACATTGGGGAGTTTGCCGAACATTGGGCAACTTTCCCTAATGGCCGGCGCCAAAACGGCCGGACAGCTTTTGGGGATTCGTATTTCAAGATTTTGTATTTCAAGCTTTTGGAATCATAACATCACGCCCTTGTGGTGTGAAACAAATGTCCCCCCATTCCATCTCTCATAGTATTTTAAATTGACCTCTCGCTCCATCGATGGCATAGTGTAACTTCATGTTTATTAGTATGTAGTCCACCAGATTTGACATTATAACTTTTCGATTAATTTTAGCAATTTCATGACGTGAAAAGTTCGTTCCTTCAACTTCAACATGAAATTCAATTTTGTTTGTGCAAGATTCCATAATTAAAAATATTTAAGAACCAAGGAAAATTCAATATAAAATATCCAATTAGTAAAATAACAAATTAATATACTAACAATAAATATCCAGATAATATAGGTAATTCCAAAATAAATTCTAAAAAACAAAATTACAGGAAATATCACCGAAAATATCGTCATTTTTTCTTTGGCGAACCAAAGCAATTTGCTATTGTTTTTTGGCGAACCATAGCAAAATATAGATGCCACAATCTTTCGAGTTTGGTTGTTGAGGCACTTCTATATTCTCTTGCACTTTTGTAATGTTGAATAGCATAAGTTCCTATATTTTTTGCCATCATACTAGAGTGTTTTTGACAAAGAAATTCTAAATAGCAGTCGAGCACTTCACCACTGAGCCAGGATTTTGGTTCCAAAGTTGTCAGGCCACGAACGTCAACTTGCTCTCTTTTCCCTTCAATAAATAATTTTCTATTTTTCCAAAAAAAAGAATCTAGGGCGTAGCCGGAGGGGGCTAAAGCCCCCTCTCCTTAAATGGGAAAATAAAACCTCTAAAATTTTAAAATTTCTAAAATTCTAAAAATCTTCGGGGGAAGAAATCTGGCTTCTGAGCCCCAAAATTCAAAAAATTTTCGTATAATGTTACGCCCTTAAGAATTTAGATCTTATGTGCTTATGTCCACAACCCATAAATTTAATGGTTCTACTTGACTTTATGAGTCCAATCGAACTTTATGAGTCCAATCGAAGTTTATGAGTCCAATTGAACTTTATGAGTCCAAATAAAACTTTATGAGTCCAATCAAGATTTATGAGTCCAAACAAAACTTTATGAGTCCAATCAAAATTTATGAGTAAAGTTCGATTGGACTCATAAACATCGATTGGACTCATAAAGTTTGATTGGACTCATAAAGTCAAGTAGAACCCATTTAATTACCCTCTAATTATTTGAAACTCACTTTCACCCATCGGTCTAATTCTCCACTTTTCAATTCTTGATTCTCTTCAATTCTATTCCAGAAATTCAATTTTTTGCTCAATTCTTCTTTACTCATATATTCTTTACTTTCAAGTAACAATTCTCTGAAAAGTTGTTTAATTTTGGGGTTTAAAAATTTCCTTCTTTTGTTCTAATTTTGTAAACTTTTCAAAGTAGCGCAACTTAAATTTAAATTTTTTCATTTTTATTTAAAATTATTTAATTGGACCTCATTAGCTATTAATGTTCAAATAATTTTAGCACAAAAATTGATAAAATTTTTTTTGAAAAATCATGAAAAAAATCCGGTGTTTTACTCATCGGTCAGAAATTTCGTACTTGCAAAATTTAAGTTAGCAAATTTAGGGGACGATTCTGAAAATGTATGTTCTAATGAGGTCCGACTTAAAAATTTTAATTTTTACCGCCGTTTTTTTCAATTTTTTCCTCTGTTTTTAATTTTCTCTTCATCTACTTTTACTTTTTCTAATTTTACTTCTTTTACATTTTTTTCTTCTTTCAATTTTTCTTCCTTAAAATTTTCTTCCACTTTTTGGTTTAATTTCATAATTTGTTTTCTATTCAAATTTTTCAACATTTTTTAACGTTTCAAAATATTGCATCTTTAATTTAAATTATTATTTCACCTCTCATTCTTAAAAATATTAAAAATTTAAAAACTTTTTGCACTATTGAACGAATCCTGAAGCTTCATTTTCTTAAAAATAATTTGAATGGAGGATTAAGTTTAAAATTATACCGCTAATTCTTCGGAATTCCATTTCTTTTGCATCCACATCACCTAATGCTTCCATTTTCCATTCTTCTTTCTCTCTAAAAATATTTCTCATATTCAATTGTGCATAGATTTCGAAGATCATGTCTAATTGGGGGAGGGGAGACTTGACTTTTATTCAAAAACTTACAATACTCCTTCCATATATTTAATTTCTCAATACTAGTTCTTTTGTTCAGTGAATCAGTCAATATTAATTCTTTCTCGCCAATTTTTGCTGTTGCCAGCACCCAGTGGTTCCGTTTAGGTAGTGTTGGGACCATTCCGAGTAAATATTTTTGCTTCCTATTGCGAATGTTGGAATACGCTTCGCAAGATAAGTAGTTTTGGTGCATAAATATTGCAAGTAACTGTCCATGACATCTTCTGGTAACCATTGTCCGGTTTTTAGGGTAAGGAGGCCATCAATTGTGAGTGATTCTTCCCTTCTACCCATATCTTTATTCTAAAATCTTCGTTCTTTTCTTCTTTAAAATTAATTTTATTATATTCTAATATCATTTTGGCGAACCAAAGCGTGAAGACGCCGCAGTCATAACCGTTTGTCTGCTGCTGGACGTCGAAGTTCATCTTCATTTTCAAAAATCGGTTGTCAATAATTTTCAGCATTTCCTTTTTATTTTTTACCAAAATTTCTTCAATTGTCGTTCGTTGTCGTCGTCTTCTACATTTTTTTCTTCTGTAAATTTTTCCTCTTTTAAAATTTTCTTCCACGTTTGGTACACTTTCATAATTAATTTTCTCAATTTTTTAAACATCTCTCTCTTCTTTATTTTCAAATGGTTCATTCTTCATCACTTTTTTACAAAAACCCATTAAGGCTTTTTGTAAAAAATCGAAGTGTGACCAAACGTTTTTTTCTAGGTGTAAATCCACCATATGTAATTTTATCAGTTTCCTGCCATGTTCAGGTTAATTTCATCCTTATTTTCTTCTTTTTTATTTTGATCCAATTTGATTTTTTTCAGTGAAAATCATCATCGTCGTTTAATTGCAATATCTGAAAAATTGTGTTTTTATTTATTTATTTTTCCCCATTTTCCTTTTTTTGGAGCCAGATTTCTTGTATTTTCAGCGCCGCAGGCGAAAATTTTTTAAATTTCGAAGGCCGTAGACCAAAAAATTTACTTTTTTGCCCAAACCCTTCCTCAAATTTTTTCCTTTTCACCATTTCGGGAGGGGGGGGGGCGTAAATCCACCATGTAATTTTATTAAATTAAACACCGTCTCAAATAAATTTAGCATTTCAAGTCCAGCCTTGTTCAGGTTCATTTAATCTTTATTTTTTTATTTTGATCCAATTTAATTTTCTTCTTGCAAATCATCATCATCACTTAATTGTATTATCTGAAAATTTGATTTTATTTATTTTCTGTTTTTTCACATTTTCCTTTTTTGGATGTTTTTTAATTTTTCAGTTTCCTTATTATTTATTGTTTCAGTTTTTTAATGTTTTTTGCGTTTTTCAAAATTTTTTACATTTTTGTTCAATGTTTAAATATTAATTTTTTACCCTTTTTTCTATTTTCTTCATATATAAATTCGGTAGTGGCTCATTAGCTAATTTTTCCATCTTTTTTCAATTTTCTTGATTGGCATTGGCTCTGACTTTTCCATTATTTCTTAGCTTCTAAAATTGGCTTTGCTGTTTCCATTTTTTCTCTATTTTCACAATTGGCATCGGTGCGAAATCATCAAAATCTTGAACAACTATTTTAAAAATTTTAATTTCATTTTTTAAATTTTACATCGCGAGAAATGCGTTCAAGCCTTATTTTCTTCCACCCATCTATTTTTACATATGCTAGTTTAAAAAAATTTAATTTAAAAGTTAAATATATATGTTTTTTGGTCTTTTGTAGAATTTATTTTCACTCAGGAATTTATTTCCGATCAGATAGAAATTTGAAATAGCTTTCAATATTTTTTTGCTTCCTTTAATTTACCGGACATAACTCAAATATTTTCTACCTTGACCCACTCATTTTCAGTCCATGAATTTTTATTTTCAAGTAAAAGCTCCCAAAAATCGGCTTTAAAATAGCTTGAAGGCAATTTTTCTTCTCCGGGTGGCAGAATCGGCAAATTTTTATTTAACATTATTCGCTTGCGGTGTTTTTTCCGCATCGCTTTGATTCCTTAAAAATTAAATTTTGGTGATTTTTCTTCACTAACTTGAGATGACTGAGTCGATAATTTTGAAATAGTTTCCATGTTTTTATTAATTATGCCAATATTTTCATTTTCAATTTCGCCATTTTTTTCATTTTCAATCAATTTTTTCACTTTTAATTTAATTTTTTCATTTTCCATTTGAGGAATGGAAACGTTGCCCAATTTCTCCAGAATGAAACGTGACGTAACAAGGTTAATTTTTGCGGCCTATAAAAATTTTATAAGTGTTAAGTAAAGCTTATTGAAATTATTTGCTAAAAATTTTGTGGGTCTTAAAAAATTCCAAGTTGAAAAGGCTCGCCTGCAATATTTCAGCAACTTCAATAGATTTTATTTCTTGCATTTTATTTATTTGATTTTTTTCTTTTTCGATTAATTTTACTTCTGGATTTTCATTTTTTTCAATTAATTTTTCTTCTGGATTTTTATTTTTTTCAATCAATTTTACTTCTGTATTTTTATTTTTTTCAATTAATTTTCTTCTGGATTTTTATTTTTTTTTGTCTTTTGCTTTATCCGTCTCGTTTTCAATTTCTTTTATTTCTTCTTTTGTTTTAACAATTTCTATTATTTCAACTGAACTTGATGATTTTTCCTTAATTTTACGGTCTTCATTATTTGTATTTTTATCAGTTTTGCTTGTCTTTGTTGGGGTTTTAAAAATTTCAGTTGCATCTGAATCCATCAGTTCTTTATTTTTAAAATTTTTCCTCTTATTATTTTCCAAGAATTTTAGAATTTTATTTTCCGTTTTGTCAAAATAGCCCTTAATTTTTGAGTAGTTAAGGCATAAGATTTAAAGAATATATCTTTCTCTATAATCCAAATCTTTCTCTATAATCCAATAAACTATATATTTATTCTGTTTTTATTAAGTCCTGATAAACCTTTTTTCTATAATATTTTACCATTTCATGTTCAAATTTTGTTTTCTTTCCTTCTAATAAAAATTTAGCGAACAACAAAACATAGACGCCACAATCGTCCGAGTTTGGTTGTTGAGGCACAACTATTTTATCTTGCACCTTCCACTCTCCCTTAAATCCAACATTTTGCATTTACTTGTTCAAAAATGGCAAAGATCATGTCCCTTTATAAACGTATAATTTAAAATCTTTATTTTCTGTTTATACGTTATTCTTTTCATATTTTTTATTTAATTATTCTTTTGAATTATTGGTAATTCCAAGGCTGGCCCCCCTTTTTTCTGTTCGTCTGACCATTTTGACCTTTTTTGCTTGACATATAATTTACAATATATCATTCGAAAGAGCTATTCGAGCTGAGTAGAATGAGGTTCGATTTGGAGATTCTGAGCAGAATTATGAAGCTAAATCCTCGATGGACATGCTTTTTGTGATGTTGATAGGTATTAAAACAAATGGTCATAACTATGTTTATTTAAGTCGGATTTCGATGAATTTAGTACCGTTCAACTCAGCTTGAAGAGCTCATTCGAACGATATATAATTTGGCATAAAGAGTTTAAAAAATCGAAAAAAATAGAAAGAAAAAAAGGGGGCCAGCCTTTGAATTACCGAATTATTTATTCTTAACTTTCAAAACTTTTGTTTACTTATTATACATACAATTATTACAAGTTTTTCACACAGAAGTTTTTCTCGTTTTCCCTATCGTGAACTTAAGAACGTAAAAGCATAAAATAATCGGTAATACTTCGGTTTATGTCTCCTTTGTTTTCTTGCTTCTTTCAGCATTTAGATCTTTTTAATGATATACTATAATTTATTATATATTCGAAAGAGCTCTTCGAGCTCGGTAAACCTTTTATACTGTAGATTTTTTAGATTTCATTGATTTTAGTGCTGTTCGACTCAGTTCTAAGAGCTCTATCGAATGGTATTTAAGTAATTTGACATAGATAGAAAGCAAAAAAGGAGGAGAAAACCAAGTATTGCCAAGTATGCTAATATTGTATATTATTCATAACTTACAAAAATTCATTCATCAAATTTATTTTTTCAATACTTATACTTCCTCTGTTTAAGGAGTCGTATAATACAATTTCTTTTTTTCTATTGATGCTGCAATTAAAATCCAATGATCGTTGTGGATATTTAGTGCAGATAAGATCATTTTCACATTTGCTACCTTCCAATAGTATTTTTCCCATTCAGAACAGATTTCTTTCATTACTTTATATCTTTCTGTCGCATATGTCGGTTTTTTTCCGCTACGCTTTGTTTCCTTAAAAATTAAATTTTGGATTCGAAAATAATTTTTTTTACTCAAATATTGGTCCGCAACTTTTTGTGCTTTCAAAATTCATGTGTGGTGATCCTCAGACTCAAATGACTTTAACTTAAATAAATAAATGACATTTTATCCCAATTTATGTTTTGTGCCCTTCCTTATTTAAGAAAATATTTTCTCCCCAAAATTGTTCATTCTATTAATTTTGTTCTTTGAGTGTCCGCCCCCCCTTTTTTTATTCGTTTAATTTATTGTTGGAATTGTATTGTCCCTTTTATTAAATAAATATTGAATTGGAATTTGTGTACTTGGACTTGAATTTAAAGAAGAGTAATTTAAATAGAAGGTTAAAGAGAAATCCTTATTATTTCTCACGCATGCCACAAATTTATTTTCTATGTTTAATATTTTTTATATTTAAACTCACTTCACACGAATCTTAACTGTAACATGTCGAAATTTCTCCAAAAAGTTTCTGGACAGTATCTTTTTTGTTTTCTGTAATATTTTTAATTCCTATTTGCTTCCATCTGTTGACACCAATATAACCTAGATTTAAAAGTTAAGGGTAATTTAAAATTAAAATTTAGAAAACTCACTTCACACGAATTTAGATAACTCACTTAACACTTTTTCTGTTTTTACTTCTTTCAATTCTTTTGCATCTTTCTTTAAATTTTTCTTCTTCCACTTGGTATAATTTCATAATAAATTTTTCAATTAATTCTTTCAATATTTTTTAACGTTTCTTTCTCTTCTTTAATTTCCAACTTTTTATTCGTCTTAATAACATTTTAAGTTAAATTTGTTTTCAAGAAAAATTTGGTTCAATTTTTTTGAAAGTAAAACAAGAAGTAGTGACGTCCGTTTTTCTGCAAAAATGATGGCCAGAATTATTACTTTATATGAATATGCCACAAAAATTTATAAATTAAGTAAAAATAAAAAATTGAAGTTTCTACTTTCATGGAAAATAAAGCAAAAATTAATGAATTATATAAATAAAAAATAAGAAATTGAAGTTATTAAACTGAATGAAAATAATGCAAAAATAAATGAAATATGTGAAAACTTACATCTTCACAAAATTTTTAATTTTAATTCATTGCATATGTAGGTATATTGTTTAGTTAGTCTGGCATGTTATTTTAAATAGTTGTTTGAGCTTATTTTTGACTGTTTAACAAATATTATACTTAGGACTTTGTTTTGGGTGGAAAATTAAATTTTCAATGAATTATACACAATGTAACAAAAAATCATAAATATTTGAATTGCAATAATATAATCTAATAATTATCACTTTATTTAATTTGTCCCATTTTCATTGTGAACTTTTTTTACTTCGTTCATCACTAATTTAAGCCTTAAAAATTTCAAATTAAAATTTTATTTTAACACAATTCTTACTTTTCTTGTATAGAATCAACGGCTTTCAGACGAGCATCAAATTCGTCGGCACTTTGAGGCCTCGATAATGAATTATAAAATTGATAATTGATTGCCTCTCGTGTTGGTAGTTCCATATTTAAAATATTAGCCAGACTGTGAGCAAATCCCCAAAACTTTAAAAATTAAGGAAATTTAAAAAATAAAAAAGGAAACTGAGAATAACACATGTTTCAAAATAAATAACAAGGGACCATAGCAAAATATAGTCAAAGAATTCGTGACGTAACACCACACAACATTGCGTAGAGCTAGATTGGTTTACTTTTGTCAACTATTTGATTTTTTAGCCCTGACCCCGAAATAAAAAAGTTATAGGACTTCAAATTCTTCGACTTTTGGAGGAAAGAAATTGCAATAGTAACCTAAGCTTGCTCTACGGCAATGGTAGTGCTACATCGAAAATTTCGGTACTATGCGTTTATATCCCCACAATTCCGCAAATGTTTGTCCGCACTTTTTTTTATTCTTTCTCCTCAAAAAGGATGAGAAACGGTCAAGTTAACCTCCATATTTTCTTCTCCTTCTTTCTCTCACACAGATTAAAATGTTCAAGTAAGAATAGAAAAAGACAAATATTCGCTTATAGAAAAATATAAAGGTAAAAATAAGAGAATGTTTAGAAATTATTTAGGTAATAGTTTGTTTGGTACCCAACCCCCCCCCCCCATTTTTCTGACCATTTTTTCATTTTTCCTTCCATTTCTCCATCAAGGCCCATTTCCGTTCTGCCTCACCCCCATAAATTAATGCTCAAAATGTCATAAGGTAATAAAAGGTGCTGAGTCTAACGGTACCACTCTTTTTTCCCGTAAATGCCTGTGGACCGAGATATATAGCTCAAAATGTTCAAAAATCATTGGTGGCGCAAGTATCGTAACTTGTATCGTAACTTTGTCCAATCTTGTTCAATCACGATGATTTTGGTGTCATTTGACTCATCTCGTCGAACTGCTTCAAATGAGTATTTGTTTGTACAAACTTCTGAATGTTCATAGGCCAGTATTTCGGTCAAATCAGAAAAATGGGAAGGGGGGGGGGGGGGGGGGGTACCAAACAAACTATTACCTAAATAATTTCTAAACATTCTCTTATTTTTACCATTATATTTTTCTATAAGCGAATATTTGTCTTCCTCTATTCTTACTTGAACATTTTAAACGTTGTGAGAAAAGAAAGAAGGAGAAGAAAAAATGGTGGTTAACTTGACCGTTTCTCATCCTTTTTGAGGAGAAAGAATAAAAAAAAGTGCGGACAAACATTTGCGGAATTGTGGGGATATAAACGCATAGTACCAAAATTTCTTGGTTATAGTTCGTGATGGTCTCTTCTAAATATTATTAAAATTAACCTCAAAAGTTTTATAACGAGTAGCTTTTGATGGAATTAAAACTGAAGATTCCTTTTTATTATCTTGCTTTGTTTTATTTAAAATATTGTTTTCATCTTTTGTTTGGAATAGTATTTCTTTTTCAATTTTTTCAAATTCTTCTTGATCATTATGTTCGTCACTTTTATTTTCCAAGTCATCATTTTCTGACAATATTTTAGTAGAATCTCTCAAAAAAGTTGACTAAATTTAAAAAAATAAAAAAAACAATTATCATCATTTAATTTAGTAAAAACCTTATCAGATTCCAAAAGGGTTCCATTTTCATTTTCAAACATTTCGTTATGGTCATCACCATTTTCTAAATTGGATTTTTAATAAATAAAAAGAAGATTTGAAACTAGTAGAGTGTACGTGGGGAAGGAGGTCTATAAGTTAAAGTATATTGTTTCCTCTAAAGTAACTCCCACTAGAGCTCTTAAGCTTTTCCACTAAAAACAGACGACCCTTACCTGTATTTTTATTTGGGCTTTCTCTGGGTATTTCCATCATTTCATTCTCACCATTGGGAGTTTCTTCGACTGGTACTGACAAGTCTATTTGCGTAACTTCTTGATTTTCTATATCATCCTCATCAACTGTTTCTTCCATATTCCTCTCAGATTTTTTCTCTTCTTCCTCTAATGGTTCGGGTATTTTATCACCCCAAGGAAGTTCATCTTCGTTATCCTGATTCTCTTTTGCAACTTTAGCAGCTTCCACTAAGGCTCTTAATTCAAGAGCTGGCAAAGGTCTAGCGCCCAAAACTGATCGAACACGATAGGAAGGCGGCGGTGTATGTGGTGAATCTACATGTGCTTCTTGATGGGGGGAATGTTGCTGTGATGATTCATATTCTAAAAAATTGAACATTAATTTGATATTTTATATTTAAAGTAACCTTCTGAAGCACCAGATGCCAATCTAAATGATCCACGCGAACTTCGAGCACTTCTAGGGGTTCGAGGACTGATGAGAGGCTTTCGGGGGCTCCTTGGCGATTGTTGTTTTTTTTCTCCTCGAGGACTTCGTTGTCCTAGAGGTAAGTCGAACTCGTCGCTATTTCTTGTAGGAGATGATGAATCATTCGAAACAGGTAATAGAATAAGTGGAATAGAATTAGCACGCTCTTTTGAATCTTTTTGAATTATTCTATTTATTTTTTGTAGAGGATCTTATTTTTATTTAAATTAGAATTAAATAGATTTAAATAATAACCTGCTAAATTTTGTGGACCATTTAAACTTCTTTTCTCCAATTCTGCCTCTAATCTTTTAATTTTTTCGTTAGCTTCTTTTAATGATTCAGTCAATTCATGCTCTTTTTTCTGCCCTTCATCAGCCCAATTTTTTCTTTCAAATATAAGAACTTCGAGTAAAGGCATTAACGAAGGAGGTAACCAATGCCTTGGAAGACCCTGCTCTCTAAATCTAAATTTTTTAACAAATTTGTCAGAACCTAACAAATCTTTTACCTATTCTGTAAATCTCTAATTTTATAAATCATTAAATTCCAATCTGGATGCAATTGAAGTTGATCTCCAAATTCTCTACTCCATTGTGAAAACACAGTGCAAGCACTAGAATTATAAAATATTTATTAAAATTTATTTTCAATTTTTAACCGTGCAGATTCTTTAGCAATAAGAGCACTTTCCCTCAATGTTCCCAAAAAGGAGTCAACAGCTTTTGAAATTGGATAAATCTTTTCCTTGAGAAAACGATCAAGTTGAATATACAATTCTTCTTTTTCTGTAGATTCTAATTTTAATGATTCAAACAAAACGGAACATTTACTATTAATCTTTTAAAAAATAAATTAATAAAAACTTTAAAAATTAAAAAAACCTCCATTAATCGAAAACTAAAAGGTTCGTGCAATATTTTATTTATTTCTGCAAATATATCAGAATAGTCTCGTACAGACATATTTACAAGTCTAAAAATATTTAAAAAATTTTTAAATTTATAAATAACTATTTCCAACCTTCTATTTAAAATTTCCATTTCTTCATTACAAACTTTAAAAAAAGTTTCAAACACAATTTCATTTACGGAAGAAAAAACTTTTTTCTTTCCTTTCTTTTTGTTATTAGCAAAATCGTTTTTGAGTAATTCTTCTCTAAGCCTTTCATTTTCTTCATGTGCTCTAGCTAATGCCTCCTTTAAAAAATAAATTTAAACTAATTAAAAAGCCACTCATGTCAGTCAATTTTTTGTCAGAATCGGGATATATGAAAAGGTACGGGACAGAGAACTGGCAATGAACCGATTCTGATGCCATTCGACGCATGTCAGTCTTATGTATCTTTTACTAACTGACCATTTTGTAGATCTAAAACAAATTGACTGATGTGAGAGGAAATGATTTCTTGAGAGGGAATCAAACTGATGGAGGGGGTACCTAGTAAATTACTTAAATAAATACTTGAAATGAATTTTCTGAATCCTCAAATCGATTATTTTTAATTGTATTATTTTCTGAATTTATTTCTTCCTCTTCTTCATCATCAATTGTATTTTTGATATTTTCTTGATTTAATGCTTCTTTTATTAAATTCTTCTGTAGTATTTCATTTTCTTGTTTTTCAGATTGATTCTGAGTCTTAAATTTTTAATTCGAATCAAAAATAAAATAAAAACCTCTCGTAAATTCTGTTCTACTTTTCGTTTATTTTCTCTTTCTGGTGTTGCTTCAATGACTTTCCTGTCAGTATCTATCAAAAAAATTTTTTTGTTAATTAACTTATAAATTCCTTTTTACCATTTTCACCTTCTGTACTGTTACTATTTCTGCTATTAATCGCAATTATTCTTGAAGTAGATGCACTACGACGCAATGTTGTTGTCTATAAATGTTCTGGTATAAATAGTTCAGTCCCGGCATAGTCCCGAGCCCTTTAACTTATGAAACTCTAGACTGATTTATAAAAAAGTTATGATCGATAAAGTGCCGAAAGACCACATTTTTTGACAAACTTTAGTTTTTAAATTACAACTTTTCTATAAATAAGAAGAGAGTTTTGATTTTTTGAAATCTTGTAGAGCTTTTAATTCTCTATTCAGTGGTACCAAGACCATAAAGATGTGATCACATCATGAGTTATAGTGTCGGGACCGAACTGCTCCGTAAATACTTTTAAATATTTTATTACCCCATTTTGTATTTGTCTGTTTTTATTTAAATTTTGTTGTTGCTGTAGCTGACATAGTCTAACATTGCTTTGAACGGGACGAGCAAATCTATCAACATACGGTTTTGGTTGAATATGTTTCTAAAGATTAAGTTTCAAAGAAGAAAATTTTTAAAATAACCCCAACAATTGGCAACGAGAATTGGCTGTGTTCTGACGAAGTTTTTTTCTTTACAGAAGAATAGCCAATGCTGCTACTAGAACGCTACAAAATTTATTTTATATTAAAATATTTTTTCAAAAAATTTAAAATTTCAAACTTTGCATTTCTGCCTCTTTTCTCCTCCCTTATCGTTTATTTTTGGCATTGTAAAAATAAATTCAACAGATTCAGGCCCATTTCCAAAACGAAGTTTGTCTAGAGGTCTTAATTCAATTAATGAACCTTGAAAAAATTTTTTAAAGAATTTTATCAAAAAATCCTTAACCATCATAAAGGATTTTTTCACCATTTACAGCCTCTTCTATTTTATTTTCATTTTCCGGTGAGTTTCTTTTATGTTCTCCTTGTTCTTCGTTAAAGGACGGAATTAATTGACGAAGCCAGAAGGTAGACGTTTTTTGTGAATATTCTATTACAGCATGTTTTGGTCTGACTCCTGGACACTAAAAAATAAACTTTTAAAAAATAAAAATAGATTTTTAATATTTTTGGAGACGAGAATAAGGTTGACGTATCCGAAGATCCGGATCCGAAAAAAGGTCGGACATGCAGAAATTTTCGGTTCGGATGTAGGATCCGTCAGAAGATTTCCCAGGATACGATACCCTTAAGCAAAAAGTAGTTGTGACAATTGAGTAATAGGACAATTGAGCAGTCGGACAATTGGACAGTGAGACAATTAGGATCAGTATAGCTGGAAAATGTATTTGGATCTTTATTTTAATTTTAAAAAATATTCCTTAACTACAACCTTTATTACAATATCACAGTCAGGATCGGATCCTATCAAAGTATTTTGTAATAAAAGAATATTCTCATCAACTTTTTTATTAGAGCTTCCTCGTCGTAACATCTTTAAAAAATAAATTTCAAAATCTATCAATTAAAGCAAGAATTATACTATACAAGAATAAAAATAAAATATATCCTCATTTTCACACTTTTATAGCGGCATGGAAAAAAGGAATTTATAAAAAAATAAAAAAATTAGAGGAGATGTTTTGTGGGAGTCAAGGAAACCATATATCTTAATAAACAGGTGTAATCTATCCAAATCTAATGACCATTTATTACATAAGGATATAAAAAAGATACCAATAAAAGTCTGATTTTACTTTTGGTCAGTTAAAATTTGAAAAAAAGTAATAAAAGTACAAATGGAGAAAATAATTTTTGAAAAACTATACATAGCTGTTGACCAAAGTTTACTGGAAGAAAGATGAATAGTTTTATAGTAAAATGATCGAATATTGAGGTCCGGTAAGGTGAGGAAACTGTAAAACATAATTGCTATTTAATTCATAATGATGTGCAGGAGGCGGTGTGATGGATAAACATCAGTCCGGTCAATTGAAGATGCTCGTTCGCTCCCAGCAACGATTAACCTTATGCACTAGCTGTAGGAGAAATTAATGCTTGCTTTGCTTTACTAAACTTTCTAAAAATAAAATAATAAAATATTTTTGAATTAAAATTATTTAAAATCCCTACAAATGTGAAGGATTTTTACCAAAATTATTGAAAGAATATACCTAATTTATTTATTTTGGATTTGTTTTAGCAGAGCATATTTAATTAAATTTATTTTAGGCAAAAAAGTAAAGGAAAAAGAAAAGTCCAAAACTATCGGATTTTTTGTTATTTTAAAGTAATTAATTTAAATATTTTATAAGAAATATTTTGTTAAAAAATGCAACATTTCTTTCTAAAAATAGTGCACATAAACTTTAAATAATTTAAAGAAATTTTTTAAAAATTATAAATTAAATTTAAAATTTATTTCCAAATACTTTGTTACTATCCAGATTATTCCAGAAAATTTCGCTTTAAACGTATACAAAAATACAGCGTTTATCTCCAGCTTTATCCACTTTCCTAAAAACCATTCATCCACTTGACAATAAAAATGAGAAAAATTCGAGAGCGCAAGCGAAAGGATATGCGCTGATTTATTGATTAAAAAAGGCTGGTTGGCCTAGTCAGTCAATAATTGTAAGGATTTAAAGTCTATTTCTGTTTTAATTTTAAATAAATTTATTAAAAATTTATTAATTTAAGCGTATTTACTCGATTAATTCCCCGCTCTCACATAATTCATTGTTTTCGATTAATTCCCCATGCCAGGGATGGGTTGAAACAATAATTCCCCACCCTCAAATGCTCTTACTGCGCGCCGCTCCACGAAATACCATACAACACGTTCAAATTTAAAAACTTAAGAATTCTCCTCCCTCGAATATTAATTAGGTAATTCTTTAGGGGAATTAAGTTTCTTCCTTACTTTTTAATATACGGTAAATAAAAATTAATTTAAATATTTTTAATTTAAATAATTACAGACATATGTAAGTTCATTCTATTTTTTACCCTATCATTTCTTTTTAAATATTTTTATTTGCTTCTAAACCAAAAGCAATGCCAATTTCCTTCTCCTTTATTTCCAGCTGCCTTTGGTCATTTAGTTCTTCCTTCCTTCCTTTTTAAATTAAAATCTTTAAAAGAAAAGTAATCAAAAAAGGCAAAAAGTTTTTATTGTTTTTCAAGTATTTTTTAAAGATTGAGAACGCTATATAAAACATTATGCTATTAGATAAATTTTAAAAAGCACGAAAACAAATCTTTCTCTATTTTATATTAAGATCCAATTGCCTTCCAAAGGGGAGTCCTATTAGAGGGGGCATTCTATTCGAAGGGGAATTCAATCGAGGGCATTTAATTGGAGGGGGCATTCTATTTTCAATCTTCCTCTAATTTGTAAGGTAACATTCTATTAGAGGAGTGAAGAGGCATTCCTATGCCGCATTAGACGGAAAATTACAGAAGCAGCAAAAACATCATTTTGGGCTTCTCACTTCAAGACATAGCTTAATAATTCAAATTATTCTCACTCATTAATTAAATATAATCCAAAAATTATTTTCGTAAACTAAGACATTTTAAAAAATTTATTACTTTTTTTTGACTTTTAATAAAAATAACGTCATAGCGACTTAAAAGAGATTTTCTTCCTTTTAAGTATTTACAGATGTTTTATATTTTAAATTATTAATTAATCAATATTTATAAGCATTTTTCTAAATTTATTAGTAAAATTCATGCGCAAAATATAGACAAAAATAATTAAAATTTTTATTAAAATATTTTTTAATTAAAAGAAAAAATTGGTTAAAAACAAAACAAATTTTCATCATGCTTAAGGAGAGAGAGACTTTTTTTTATCCATTTTTACCCAAAGCTTTCTTCATCCAAGGAATTTTTTTCCTATTTTTTTCTTTTCCTTTAGCATCTTTTTGGCAATATTTTTATATATTTTCTAGTTTAGTTCCTTAATTTATTTTTAATTTAATAAGGATTGACAGAATATAAAGCAACATAAGTATAGTTATTTGTGTTGCTTTTTGATTTTTTCAGCTATTCATTTTTCTTTAATAAATTAATTTTCATTACCCATTTAATTTAATTTAGTAGTTAATTTAGTATTTCTTTTCATTATCCAATTTCATTTTTAAAAGCTTAAAATTATAATTATTTCAATGTTTGTTAAGCATTTCCCCAAGGAGGAGTTTAGTTCAGTTCCGACCCTATAATTCATGAAGGGATACCAAGAACATTAAAAATTATCAGCATCTTCATACGTTATAAGTGCCGGACTGAACTGATGTCTATCATTTTCCCCGTAATATTGGGAAAGCTTTAAAAAAGTAAAAATAAATTTCTGTCCAATTTAAATACATATTTTATTTATTATAAGCATTAGAGCTTCAAATGAATATTTTATGATGGCAAAACCCCAAAAAATGAATGAGTATCCAAAAAATGAAAACAAATAACCAAACAAATTTATTGGAATATTTACCAGTTTTTAATGTTTGCACCTCTTTTTTCATCATTTTTAAAAATCCTCTGCCCATATTTTATTCAAACAAACACTTTTTTTAGTTTCCTCATTTTGCGCGTCAAACGCGGTGTTGAGTTTCCTCCTCTTCAAAAATTTTATGCTACCCAAACGTTTGGAGTTTTAGGTGAATTTTTGCTAAGTGTTTAACCTTAGGGTATATTTAAAAATTGAAAACGAATTTTGAATAAAAAGCAAATAAAATTCAATTTTAAGCTATTAAAAAATTTTGGTTTTTTAAATTGACTTCTTGCATAACACCGCCCCCACAATGGCATCCGTGTCAAGCGTTGAACGTTTTGTTGAGTGTCAAGCGCACCCTCCTACAATACTCCATGTTCTGTTGACTGTCCGTGCATCCGTGCGTGCATCTCAATGCAACGAATGTCATTGTAGGAGTAGCCTAAGGAAACGAATAATACAGGGCTCAACGAAGTTGGGGAAATTTTTAGGTTGGGATCCAATTCCACTTCCAATAAACTAAATTTTTAAAACAAACAATGGATATGAATTTAAATATTTTAAAGCTATTAAACACTTGAATATTAATTTTAAAATGCCAAAAAATTGAATTATCAGCTTAAGACAGTTTTTGAAAATTTTAAGTTAAAATTCTTTCCCTCCTAAAGTATATAAATTCATAGAAAAATGCCATTTTATTCCAATACCCTAAAAACCCTCCACAAAAAATTCAAAAAAATGGCCAGTTCAGTTGCCCGTATATCTCGGCAAAAAGCGAGAAAACGCGAGGCAACCAAACCTGCCCCAACAACCAGAAGAAATTTGCGAAACTCAACACCTGCCCGTTTAAATAAAAAAGAAATTAAAGTTAATTTTTCTAATAATAATTCCCCACAGTTAATTAATTTAATAAATTTAAAAAATAATAAAAAAGAAGAAAATTCAAATAATTATTTAATTGGCAATAGTAGTGGAGGTATTGGAAGGAATTTTGACAAGGAAAAAGGAGGCACTAATTTGATAGGAGAGGAAGATAAATTAACTAATGATAATAATAATTTATTTATTTTAAATAATAATACTCCACATTTTATTTTTAAACCAAATTATTCTGCTATTAGACAACGTAGAATATCTCAAATGGAAAATAGAAGCAGGATTAGGGTAGAAAAATTATTTTAATTTTTAATTAAATTTAATTGAGGAAAGGAGAAGATTATATCTCCGAACCAACCAGAAGATCTCATGTGGAAAGCATTTTAATATCATTCAATTCTCCCCATTCCAGTTTTGAGTGCCTAGTTAGTCTTGCTGTCTAGTAAGAGGGATGGGCCCTCCCGCATTTTAAAAAGCGGAAACAAAAATACTGAAGCAGAACGCGGAATGGTTAAAAAGCATGCGGAAGGCTAAGAAGGATAGTCCATACTTGTTGTCCAACTGTCCCAGTCCAACTGTTCTTACAATTATAGTAGTTAATTGCCTTAGTTCAATTGCCTTTTGTTCAATTGTCTCCTTGTCCAATTAGCATAATTTAGCATCTTTTAAAAATTTAAATATTTTCTAATTTAAAGCCTGTTCAATTATTTTCTGTTAATTCTTCAAATCCAAATGTTTTGAAGTTAAATAAAAGTGCATTAAATACTGCATTGGGTCATTCTTCCATTGCTAATAGAAAAGTTTGTGTTTCCACAATTTTTGGAAAAATATTTCTTTAGATTGTTGTATTATCAATTACTGGCACTCACAGAAAAGGAAAGAGTTTCTTACTAAATTTTTTTCTTGATTATTTGTATAAATTGCAATATACACAGAAAAATGTAAATAAATATTTCTTTTACTTTAAAGCTTTAAAAATATTTCTTTGAAGCAAGATTTGGAATTGGAAGATTGGATAAATGATGAAGATATAGTTGAGGGTTTTACGTATAAAGCTGGGCCAAAAAGGTGTACTGCTGGAATATGGATATGGGCTGAGCCAATACTTATTGATATACCTAGTGGAGAACGATATGCTGTTCTTTTAGTAAATTTAAATTTTTTAAAAATAATTTTGGGTATCATATATTACTAATAGTTAAGTTTCAGTTGATTACTTCATGAGTTATAGGGTCGGGATGAGCTGAACTGCTCCGAATTAGTCTAATTATAAGGAAATATTCTTCGATTAAATTTAAAAAATTTAATTTTTAATTTTAAGATGGATGTCCAGGGTTGTATTGATCAATCCGTTATTAATGGAACTAGTTGTACAAATACTACAAATAATCTATTTACTTCATCAATCTTGAATAATAATACTAATAATTTACAACATCCAGCAATTTTGGCACTTTCTACAATGCTAAGGTTTATTAAAAGAATTTTACAAATAAAAATTAAAAATTAATATTTTAAAGTTCGATTCAATGCCTTAACTCATCCGAAACAATTTCTGAAGAGTTAATACAAATGCTTACATTCTTTACTGATTATGGACGTTTAGCATTGACAGAAGCTAAAGAATTGGGAAAACCTTTTCAAGTATATTCTTTTATGTTATTTAGTTTTGGATTCAGGGCCAATAAAGCGTCAAGAATTGTTTATAGTAATCTACCCAGCTCTACACGATGGTGCAAAAAACCCCTTGTTAGTTCCCTTGTTAGTTATAGAACCTCCGAGAAAATCCCAAACAAATTTTGAAAACTGTTCTTAATTTGAGTGTATTTAGATTGGGCGTATCTTATAATGAGATTTGACAGTTAAAAACTTCTAAAGGAAATTCTTTTTCTAGTCATTAGCATTTATTGTTCGAGATTTTAAATTGGAAGATGAATTAATTTATGGAATTGAAGGAGGTGCTCGTTTTTTGGCTAAAGTATTGCCTGAAGCAATTAGTGAAAAAAGAGAAAATTTAAATCCAAAAATAACAGAAGTTAGAAAAAATATTAGACAATATTTTGGGCAAGGAGTTAATTGTTGTAAGCTTTTTTTAATTTTTATAGTTAAATTGATTCAATTAAAAAAAGATTTAATGCCTCATCCTGGTCCAAAAGTGGCCGATCAAAATTCTGGATTTAAAGGACAAGTTAAAGAAATTAAGCAATTATTTCGAGATGAAGTTAAACGTTTAGTGGAATCTTTGGTCAGTCCAAGTGTGATACGTCCTAAATTATTAAATGGGAAGCCTGTTACTGTCAGAAAGTTTATTGAATGTGTTAAGGTGAATATAAATTTTTTTGATTTTTTAATTTAGGAACACACCGTAAAATGCTTTCTAGGATTTCTAAAAACTAGAAATTTAAAAAAATTATAGGAAAAAGATTTGCTAGTGTAAGGAAGGGAAAACTCCAACTAACTAGAATTTAAAACGCTTACTAGACGGGGGTTTGAGAGGGGACGTGGATTTTCCCGGTAGCTCAGTTGGTAGACCACCCGTATGTGGTGGGCGAAAGTACTATAGCAAAAACTGCCAGGAGGTCGCCGGATCGCCTGCCTGGACTTTCACCTCGTTCTTACTTTAGTCAAATTTTTAGATTCCATTTTTCAACAATTTTTTACAGGAATATTCCCGTCTATTTGGTTCATCAGAATTACCAGAACCCCGTTCTATTTTAAATGCCAATCTTCAATTAATTTGTGTAGAATATGCATTAGATGCTAAACTAGCCTATTGTAAAGCTATGGATAGAACAACACGTTCATCTAGAATGATGGCAGAGAAAAAATTATTGGAGGCACACATTAAAAATGGAATTAAGGCTTTAAATATTTATGATAAATGTCCAAAAATATATAGTGGTGATATTAGAATACAAAATCTGGGAAGATTGCAAGAATCTATTAATGTTTGTTAAACAAAATAATTAAAAATAAATTAATTTTTTGATTTTTTAGCATGAATTGGAACGTTATCAACGTCTTAATGAAGAAAAGAGGGTAATAAATTGCAAGGGCGTAGCCATAGGGACGATTTCAGGAGGGGCTGAAGGTGTTACCTCTCAAAATTTTTTCATTTTCCCCCATTTCAGGGGGGGGGGGGGGGGGTTCAGCCCACCTCAGCCTCATGGCTTCACCCTTGATAAATTATTGCCTAACTTAAAAGATAGTAAGACTATTTTCTTTTTAAAAGGTAACAACGTGTACTTCAGCAATGCTTGCTTGTGGTGATTCCCCTCTTTTTGGTCTTGGGTTGGGAGGGGCAGCTTCTGGCGCTGTTGCCGCTACTGTTATTACATTACAAATGGGTGTGGTTAGGTAGATGGATTTTTAATGAATTCCAAATAAATTTTAAAAAATTTTTAAGTGCTGGCATTGTTGGTAAGCTCTCTTTCTTAATTTGTATAATTTTTGCAATTTTAATTATTTTCGTAATATTTAGCAATTCCTGTGTCCTTAACTGCTCTTTTTGGGATTTGGGTTAGCTTAGAAACAATTAGACAACTTCAAAATTATTTTTAAGGTTTATGTAACATTAAAACCATCTGTAAAATCGTGCCTTGGATTAGAAAAAGATAATTAGGTAGATCAAACATTTTTTTAATGTTTCAATTCACTTATTAATTCTAATTTTTAAAATTGTTAAGTATAAAAAAGTAAAATTTTTCTTTTATTTATTAAAAAATTATTTTACTTTTTTCCCGTCATTTTATATTTAAAAAGAGGAAAAATAAATAAACATTTGGAAAATGTTGACCAGTTTTGATACCAATAATCAAATAAATAAATTTGAAACTTTCTCTATTTTTACTATATTTTTGCTATTTAGCAAAAGAATTTATTAAAAATAATTTACTAAAAATCCTTTAAAAATTAACAAATGCCCTCTAAAATAGAACTAAAAACATCCAAAAATAGCAACATTCGTTATTCAATATTCTGGCATTTATTTTTACTTTTAATTAGTTTAATTTCTTCTCTTCACGTACATTTACGTTTGAATAAATTAAGTGCTGAATGTGAATTAATTGAAAAATTGATACATTTGGATAATTCAAAATTAAATTTTGTAATAATTTATTTCTAGAAATTCCCTCATTGATCATTTAACCAGTGGCCAATTGTTCATTACCTAATTGTCTGTTGTCCATTTGTCCAATATCCAGTTGTCCTATTCCCAAGTGTCCAATATTCAATTGTCCGCCCAGTGTCTAATTGTCTTTTTCAAATTGCCACTGTCAAATTGACCGGGGAGATAAAAAAGATTTATTCCAAATTTTCAAGAAACAAAGAGAAAGAAGATCACCTACTGGACCAAATAGCGAAAATAAAATAGGAAATGGATCTCAAATTTGGCTTCATTCACTTTCACGCGTTCAGGTAACCGAGTAAGAATACTTGTATTTATGTATTTTTGAATAGATGGATGAACTGCTTGAAAAATGTTTGGAAATTCATAAATATTGTTCTGATGAAGCAGGGGAAAGTAGAGGAGCCCCTGGACCGAGTGGACCGCCAGGCGATGTTGGAGCACCTGGACCTGAAGGAATTGAGGGACGAATTGGAGAGGTTTGAGTTTTTTAGAATGTATTTTGAAATATAATTTAAGATTGGTAAAATTGGTCCAAAAGGACCGCCAGGTCCAGTTGGCCTACCTGGCAATGATGCAATCTGTCCTACATGTCCAGTCGCCACAGAATTTGAGCTTCGTCCATCTCCAACAGAATGCCCACGGATTGAGCAAATGCAGGTGAAGATTAGAAATTATTTTCTGTATTTCAGCCTAAAAGTAATGTGATTTATTTAACAGTGTCCACAATTTCCTGGACGAGGATCAATTGGAGGTTATGGAGATATGACTGGTGGAAGTGTATTTAATGATGGATTACCTAAAGTTGTTGAAAGATTGTTGCCTTTAGTTGTTGAATTGGTAAGTTAAATGGGAAAATTAAAAAAAAATTTTCTCTTAGATGCTTGAGAATGAAACGGAAACTGACGCGTGTTTGCGTATATGTACAGCAACAAATTTGACTGAAAGTCGAATTCTAGAAGAACGTCAACGCATGCCGATAAGTACGGAAGCGGCTTATATTCAAGGGGCAACAGCTCGTTAGTTTATTTTTAAATAAGTTATGATTGATTTTTTTATCAGATTGTTTTTTGGACGGAATTGGAAGGTCTATATTCCACGCCCATGCAAACACATTTTTCGGTTCATGGATGAGAGGTTTACTTTTAGTTTATTTTTTTATTTAAATTAATATCTTTAAAGATGCGTATCCACGGACGGGTGCAGATTTGGAAAAGCGTTGGTTAGCAGCACATTTTGAGGGTGATTCACTTGCTGAATTCCGCACAGGTTGAATTTTTTGAATTAAAAACCTTAATTAATTTTACATATTTTTAAAGAAGCTGATCTTCGTCGTGGATTCCTCTCGCAAACCCACGAACTACCCCATTCATTTCGAGGAACAAACTCCTTAATATTCAATAGTTCCTTTTATTTTCATCGTGCTGGAACTCCTCTACTAGCGAAATATGAACTAACAACAAAACATTATGAAGAAAAAGTGATTGATGAAGGAATGGCATTTAAAGGGGAAGATGTAAATTAATTTAATAAAATTTTAAAAAATTTATTTTTTAGTATTTGTTCAATGAATCTAAAAGTTTTATGGATATTGCAGTTGATGAAAATGCTCTATGGGTTATTTTTTATTTTTTTATTTGAATTTTAACTTTTTTTCTAGGTTCTCTTCCATTACAAAGGAAATAACAATTTAAGTGTTGCAAAATTAGATATTAATAATTTGACTGTTTACGAAATGTGGAATATTTCTACGGTTATTTTAAATAAAACTATTTTAATTTACTATTTTTTAATTTTTAGATTGATCACAGGAAAGTGTCTAACGGTAAATAAATTTTAAAAGGATAATACCGATTTTCACCCCTTCATTTTTCCTTAATAGCTACACAATGGTCAGACTTCCTAAATTATTTTAACATTCCACAGTTAAATAATGGGGAATTTGGGAAGGGGGGAGTCAAACTATTATGTACATATTAGGGGAAAAAAGGTGGTGTACGCCAGTACTAATCAGGGCCTCTGGAAAAGTTGTAGGGTTGGGGGAAGAGTAGTACCGGCTTTTCTCTCACCTATAAAACTATACTTAATTTTTATATTAAAGGTTTTGTACTTTGTGGAGTTCTTTATTTAATTAAAAGTTCCTCAATACCGGCAACAGAAATATCTGCAGCATTTGATTTTTACAGAAATAAATATTTTGAACCAAAAATAAATTGGAAAAATCTTTATGGAAATTCTAATTATATTAATTATAATCCGTTTGACAGGTTTAATTTCTATTTAAAATATTTTTATTTTTTTCAAAATTTTTAGACGTATTTACATTTATGATCGTGGATATCTATTAAGTTTGCCGGCAAGAATAAATTGGAGAACTCGATGATTTTTTTGGATTAACAAGAAAGTTGGAGGTTTGTGAGTCTTTTTAAACTGTGTCAGGACAGTTCACCATCACTCTCTCGAGTGATCATTTGATCACTTGACTGATCACTAAATTTTTTGAGAACTGTCCTAGTACTCTTTAAATAAAAATAATTATTTTTAATGATTTATTTTAAAATATTTAAAAATTAAAAAGTCTAGAAAAACCCCATTAAAATATTTAAATTCAGGAACTGTTTGTCTCTTCAGTGCTTATACTGCTTCCACATTCAAAAACAACTTTAAAGAAAATATTTTAATAATTAAGAAAATATTTTTTATCAACCATTTGTATGTCTTCGTTGTTGTTGTTGTTTTATATTCTTTCCGTTTGTTTGTTGATTTCTTCCATTTTCATCAACAACAACTACCCGTTTTAACTAAAATATAATTGTATAATTTTTTAATAATTAATTTTTACTTGGCTTTGTTGATCAAGAGATGTTTGTTTACGTAAAGCACCTCTTTGGGGATATTGTTGTGTTAATATATCAACGGTACTACCCCCAGTAGATTCAGTACCTTTTAAAAACGAAAATTTGATTTGATATCCCTGCTAGAGAGATCGGCCTGGATTTGGATTCTGACCTTGATGTCCTTGTTTCAGAGTCAAGATTCATTGCATTTTTTAGTGTTCCGTGATTTTTCCTTGACTTAAGGTCAAGGTTCTCAACCAAAATCAAGGTCAAGGTTTTTTTAAGATTTCCGATCTCTAAACCTGATTTACCTTCACTCCATTCATTCTTTAATCTCCTCCTATAAATTCTTCTTTTATGCCAAAGATAACCATGTGTAATACAAAAACAACAAAAGAAACTAAAGAGGAATTTACAGATCCAGAATAATTTAAATTACCTAAGTGCCCCACCCGCCAAAAACATAATTGTAGCAACAATTACAGATTCAAATTCTGGACCCAGCTGGGTCATTTGCATTTTGCATTTGTGTTAAAAAAATTTTTTTGAATGGGGAATTATCGAATATTTAATGTTTTTATTTAATAAAAGCAAAAATAAAGTGTACGTGTGTGTTTAATCTTCAAGTTAAAAATTAACTTTTTTTTTTCAAGTATAAAATAATTTATCTTTTTTATTTTTTTTAAATTTTTCTCGTGTTCGTATGTAGTAGCATTCACTACTTCAATTACCTTTATTATTTAACTTTTTAACAAAATCCCTTTCATGACGTAAGTTGTAGAGGGGATATTATTTACTCTGTATTTATTTTTTTATTTTAAAAAAGGCGGCTGCTTCGTCTGAACGCTAAATTTCTTTTTTCCACCCTTTGTTTTTTACATCTCTAGAAAGTTTTGTGAATTGATCCGCAGGGCATGGATCATAGGAGGGTGACCAATAGGGTGGTGATATTTTGGGGTGATTCCCTTTTCAATTTTTTAAGCAGTATATTTTCCCTCCACAATTGTCGCATTACATTTTGTTGCTGTCTAATTGTCGCGTTACCCTTTCTTGTTGTCCAATTGTCTCACTATCCAATTGTGTTGATGCTCAATTGTCCTATTTTTAGATTCATGTATTTTGTCGCTTATTTTCCAAAATTTCATGGGATTTTCAAAATTTTGGTTCGCACTCTGAAACCGATCAACGCCACACCTGAACTACACTCTTCGGTATTATATTTTTAATTTTGTTTTATTTTTTCTTTTAGATTTTTTACTATCTTCCTGTTTTTACTAATATACAAATGAATAACAAAAATGATTCCTTTGATGAATTTTGGCAAGGAATTGATATTCTTAAACAAAAACAATCTCCAATTAATTTAATTAAACGTCCAAAAATTGGTGTACAACAACAACTTTTTAAATGGCTAAAACCTAATGAGAATAAAATTAATGGTAATGAATGTTCTGTTATTCCAACATGTGAAAAGCCCATAGCCAGGTTTTTTTAATAAATTTTTGAAAAATGTGCTTTTTGAAAAATGTGCTTTTTTTTTTCAAGTGCTTTTTTGCTATTTTTATGGTTTCCAGTAGGTACTCTTTTGTATGAGGCCGAGTCTGACAATGAGCTTGGTTTATTTTATCTCGAACCCCGGATCCGAATTGGACATGTCGAATTTTGGGTAAAAATTCGAATTTATGATATGGCTATTCTGACTTGAGCATACAATTTTTTCCAGTTGCAAACAACCCATTTACCAAATTTTTTATTAAATTGAAATTAATTTTTTCAAGTGTTTCCTCCCCATCTTCAATTCATTCTTGTTCTTCTTTCTCATCATCATCTAATTCATCTCCGCCAACTAAGAGGTCACGTATATTCGAACGCCGTCAACATCAAAAATTGGTTGAATTTGAATCTGGTGTGAAAGGATTTCCTTCTCTACAAAACAGCAACAATCATTTACTTGTTTATGTTCTTGGTGTAAATAAAGGTTTGTTTTAATTGTTTCTTAAATTATGGACAAATTTTAGGAGTTGACGAGCTTGAAAAACCATTTATTAATTTGAAATGTGAATTGGCAACTGGGTCTGTTTCTTCTAAAACGCGCAAAATTAATGTTTATCTTCGTGATTCCTGGGCTATTGAAACTCCAGAACTTTGTACCCGTCAACTTCTTCGATTAATTGAGCCAAACAAAATTAATGAAAATGTTTGTTTTTATTTCATTTCTTTTTTATTTTTTCCCTTATAGACATTCGAAATTTGTGATTCTTCTGATGATTCTTGTGGTGGATTGCTTATAGTTGAACCTGAGACACTCATTTCCAGCACGCAATTATCGCAAGCACATTATTGTCCAAGAAAAGCTATGTTCCAAGATCGATTTAGAAGTACAGATACAACAATTGCGATGACTGTTGGAACGATTGCTCACGAACTCTTTCAGGTTTCTTTTCGATTAATATTTATAAATATTTAAAAAAATTATTTTTAGATAGCACTAGATTTACTTCCTTCAGAACTCTCAGCTGAATGGCTTTTTAACTTTTATAGAAAACATTTATTGACGAAAATTTGTCCTGATCTTATTGGAATGGATTGTTCCATTGAAAAATTTGAAGAAGAACTTCGTCGTTATTTGGAGAATATTTCTGATTGGATTAAGGTTTTGTTACAACATTTTTTCAAATTTTACCTATTTTTTAGTCACATCATCCACACTATAAAAACGAGAAGAAAAATAATCAGCCAATCGCTCAAATCCGACAACAAAATATGGAAAATGATGAAAATAATGATCCGAATTTACCTAATGAGCCTTTTTTCTATTCAGAAACGGTTGATATTGAAGAAAATATTTGGACACCAACTATTGGATTTAAAGGAAGAATTGATGTTTCTTTTATGGTATGAAATTTTCTTTGTCTGATATTTTAATAATAGAGATAGGACTGGGAGGTGGGTCTTTCACAGAAGATCTCGAGATTCGATAACCGAGATTTTTTTTCAAAGATTTTGTCTTGGTCAGATCTTTCTCGGTCCTTGTCCGATTAGTATTTTATTCTTTCCCATTACTTATTACTTTTTCTCCTCATTTTTCCCTCTTCATTAAGTTAATTTAGTGTTTTAGGGTGACAGAAATACTTCACCTTGTTCATTGTCAGACTCAAATCAATCGCCTCTATCAATTAATAAACAATCCAAACTTGTTGTGCCTCTCGAATTGAAAACAGGCAGATCTTATGGATCATGTAATTTATTTTTTTTAGATTTAATTTTAATTAATTTTATATTTTAGCTGGCTGTGTAGAACATCAAACACAAGTAATGCTTTATTCACTTATGCTATCTGAACGGGTAAATAATGGTCAGCTCAGTTTAGGTTTTTTACTCTATTTGTAAGTTTTTTATTGTATGTTTTTTGAATATAAACGTTTTTTAGACGTGACAATAAAATTGCTCCAATTCATCCCAAAGCTGTTCAATTACGTGGAATTATTCAAATGAGAAATAGACTAGCCACTCATTTTTCAAAATTTACAATTGATTCATTTCCAGGTTTTTCTTTTAATTTTTTTTTATTAAAAAATTATTTTAGATCCTCTTCGAAATCCACGAAGTTGCGTTAATTGTCCTTATGCTACTCTCTGTGGTACAATTGCTTTAGGGAATGAAATTTGCGTGAAAGAAGAAGAATCTTCCAAAAATAAGGTTAAAATATTTTTATTAATTAATTAAAAAGTTTAAATATTTTAGACTCAAAAATCTCGATTAAAGAAATTTTTATCTCCTAAAATTAATGATGAGGAATTAATGGTTGTTGACGAAAGAGTTAAACAAAACGAACAAGTTGTTAAAATTTCAAATGGTATTTGTTTTAAATTTAGTTTCACGCTCGGACCTTTATCATTTTTCAATTTAGATAAACCTCAACGAACTTTAAAAAATAAAATTTCTGAAGAAATGTATAATTTTATGTTACAACAAACTGCTCATTTAAACCAACAAGAAATTCTTCAAATAAATAATTGGATAAAAAGTGGACTTGAAGAATGGGGAAAAGCTTGGGAAAATGGTTCAACATTACGATTATTTAGAAAAACACCAAAAGAAAGGTTTCTTTATATTTTAAAAAATTAAAAAAAAAATTTTTCAGAGAATTATTTGGAACTTGTCTATCAAATATGCGTTTAATTTCTTCTGAATGTATTAAAAATGATGTTGACGATTTCAAAAATTCTTTTTTATTACATTTTACTCGTGAAAGGTTTTTTTAAGATTTTTTTAAAAATATTTAAAAAATATTTTAGCAATGAAAAAATAACGGAATCGGAAAATTTTCAATTAAAAGTTGGTACAACAATTACTGTTTCTACTAATAATGCTTATGCCTTATTAATTGCAAAAATTCATTCAATTGATGGTAAATTTTAGTTTTTTTTTAATTAAAATTTTTTCTCCTATAATCAACAAAAAGTGCCTGAGATGTCTTTAGAGTTCTTTTTTCAACCGTTTAAAAAATTTTACTGCGAGCGGTTTCGAACCCTCACCTCACTCTCACTTTTTTAAAAATATCCCACTTAACCAAAGAATAAATAATGCTTTTTCGACTTAATAATCAACAGAGGTGTTCTTGAGATTACAAATTTCTATATCAAACATTTTTTTAATTAAAAAAATTAAAAAAAATTTTTTTTAGTTTCAACAAACTCAATATTAATTATTTCTGACAAAGATTTGTCTAAAAATATTTCTGGCAAAGAAGAAGATGCTCAAATTTATTATCATTTGGATAAACATGATGGTTTTACATCTTATGCTTTAGCTCTTGGAAATATATCTGGATTATTAGAAAATTCTCAAAAAGCGTAATTTTTAGATTAAGAATTTTTTAAAAATTAAAAATTAATTTTTTTTTAAGTAAATTACTTCGTTCTATTTTAATGTCAACAAATAATAATACATCAACTTCCAAAAAGAAATGAATATATAATTTAAATAATTGAAGGGTATTACTAGAATTTTTATTATATTTATTTATTTTTGTGTAACTTATTTATAATTGATAAACTAACAATCATTTTTATTTACGACTAAATATTAAGGTTTGTTAAATAAATTTAAAAAATTATATTAGAATTAGTTGATATTCTTATCTGTGATTAATGGGGTTTAAGTCTGAGAATTTTTATTGTGTCGGGCACTTTCGTGGCATAGTCTTGAGGCGCTCCTTAACCGGGTCAGACCATATAGAAACTTTAAAATTAAATAAAAAAGATCAACATTCTTTCGCTTTAATTCACATAATAGAATAATACAAATTAAAAAATTAAATCAAAGCAATGAACAAGATTTCTTTTCTTGAAAAGGATTTGGTCCTATTGGTCCAGTAATTAAACGATCTTCATTTTTCTTGGTTTCACAAAAGTCAATTAGACTAAAATAATCAATAAAAATATTTAAATATAATAACAATAAACTTACTCTCTTGCAACATCAGACCTATAAAAAATAAATCTGACCCATAATCAAATTAAAAATCTTACACTTTTTTGCGATTAATATTTGCCTCTTGTCGAAGTTGATGAACAGTCATTCGGGCTTGTTCCATTTTTTAAATATCTGTTAAAATTATTTAAAAGATATTTATTTTTTCTAAATAAAATTTTTACCTATTTTTTCGTTGAAACAAATGCCAATAAATAAATATAATTTCTTTGCTTTTTGTGAGTAATTAAGATTTTTTTCATAGCAATTCGCAGGGGGAAGGAAAAAATTGTATCGAAGTGCCATGGAAACGGCGGGGGAACCCAACCTTTTTTAAACGATATTTAAAAAATTAGTGGTATTTATAAAAGGATTGGTTTATTAAGGGTTTGGGGCTATATCGAGAGATTTGGAAGGATAATAATGGATTGAGAGGATTTTGGATCGGAATGATTTTAGAAATAATCGTGACGTTAGCTGAAGTAATATTATTAGTTATTATTGATTAAATTGAATAAAATATCTAAATTTATTTTTATATAAAATAAATAAATTAAAAAAAATCTTCCTAAAATCAGCAGATATTCGTCCACCATATAAAACAGCAAATTCACATAATTGAACAATTACTTGCCAAAGAGAATCTTGATACGAAGATATACTTGATACGAGATATCGAGCTAACTTTTTCTTTAATAAATGTATAAAGATATTTGTAGGCAAAAAATTAAACTACAGATTAAGCTCAATGTAATGCAAAGAACATCAGAATCAGTCAATTTTTGAAAAGTTTAGCTAATAATAAGCTTAAAGCTAGTTTTCTCTAGTTTCAGGCCTTTTGATATGATTTAATTTTGTTTGCAAATTGCACCACTACGAGATAATATTAGCTATATCCTTCTTATCACCTTAAAATAATTTTTTTGTTTACATCGAATATTTTTGTTTACATTTAGATTTGTTTATGTACATATTTCCTCATTTTGCACCAAAGACCATAAAAATAAAATTTTATTTTTTTAAAATAGAGTTTATTATTTTTTCTCGTTATATTCTTTGCGTCAATAAATGGATAGACAATTCTCGGTGAGTTTTTCTTCAATTTTCTCCAAAATTTTACATTTTATTTCACTTAAATGCCCATTTTAAACTTAGACTTCCTTTAATGTCTGAAGGTTAACTGTCAATTTTTTGTGAAGATAAACCAAAGAACGAACATTTTCAGAACTTAATATTCTACCCATAAATCTTATATTTTTATCTTTCGAGTTGACAAATTTCTTCACACTTAAATGAAAATTCTCGCTTTTTGGTTGTTTTGGTTGTTGCTCTTCCCCTTGCACTTTTTGTCCTTGTCCTTTAACTTTAAACTTTTAGTCAGCAAAATTTTATCTTACTAGTTCAATTAATCGTTCCACTAAAAACAAAATTTTCATCGATACACCAGCTAATTTATTTTCTCAAGACTGAATATTTTTGTTTTGCTGCCCTGTCCATTATTTTCCACAGCTAATCTTTTTTTTGCTTCGCTTTTCTTTCTATTTTTGCTATGCTATGCATTTTTACTTTCCAAACACATATGTGTATGAACTTTGCTCGAAATTGTCAATATATAAAGGAAGGCCCAAGGCCTCTCAACAAACAAACATTTTTATTCAAAACATTTAAATGTAAATAAAAATAAAATTCTCTCACTTATTCTCTCACTTGTACGTAGAAAAACAAATATTTTAGTTGTTTTAAGCCTTTAAAATAAATATTAAATTTATGCTATTCGTGAGGCACTTTTTAATTCAGAAAAAATTGTTGAATAATTAAGCGATAAAATATTAGTTTCCAATATTTCTAAGTTTCCCCCACCTCTGTTTAAATGATAATGAAGGTAAAACTAAAACCTACACATTACTTATCTACAATCCAATAATTATTTGATATTTGTTTTTAGCGTATTTTATTTCCTTTACTCTTCAAACATTCGAAAATGTTCTCTCCAGCTATTTACAACGCTTACAGCAATACTCCGGCTAACCGCTCTATGGTCCCATGGTGGGGATACCGACGCAATTGGACTGACCCATTTGACCAAATGGAGCGTTGGATGCAATCTATGGATCGCTATTATGATGAGCATATGGGCTTCCAGGTGTCGATTTACCTTTTAGATAACTCTTCATTGAAAGGGAATTTCAGATGCGTGACCACGCTGCCCAAATGAAGATTGAGCCCAATGGTGATTTTACCTACAAGGTCGATGTATCAGGATTCCGTCCTGAGGAAATGACTGTTGAGGTTCAAGGCAACGAAGTTGTAATTACTGGGGAACATCGAGAGCAAAATCAGGGTATTTGTGACTGAATGAATTAAATAATTTAAAATTAGGCGAATCTGTCCATCGCCAGTTTGTTCGCCGTGTCTATATTCCAGATGGGATTAAGAAGGAAACTGTCAAGTGAGTTTTGGAGTACTGTGAAATGTAATTTACTTCTTATTCTTAAGATGTGACATGGACACTACTGGACGTATGTGTGTGACCGCTAAACAAAATGCTGAAGGAAAGCGTACCATTCCAATTGACTTTAAGCCGGTCAACACTACTACAACTACCACTGGAGGGCAAACTACCCAGACAAAATAAATTTGCTTTTGAAGCAAGAAATTTGAAAAGGATGCGAAAATTTGAATTAATTTAACAAAAATTTAAAAAAGTATTTGATATTTATTCGCTTTCCTTCATAGATTAAATTGGAACTTTACTGAAATTTTGATTTGCTTAATAGGAAGATAAAAAATACAATTGATGAAACAGTGTACAATTAACCCTCCCCCTCTCACTTGTTCGTTTAGCAAATTTAAACTTTAGCATCAGCAAATCCCAAAGTGCCCTCCTTCCAGTTTGTACAAATGCATCGATCATCAAAGAATTTAGCTCCCATGAGATAGCCATCTTCATAGCCCATTGCTACACTATTAGCAATAAGTAACCGGCAATCACCTAAGGCGGTCTAAAAATATGTTTTAAAATATTTTCAAGATACATTTCGGACTTCAGTATGAGTCACTACCCCCTATACTGGAAAATATGACTATCTTATACTGATGTCCGCCCGTGTATAAACCTACATATTGTAAATATTGTTTAGGGGTTATATTAATCGTTGCTTGTTTCTCACAATCATCTGGATCTCCAACAGTTATTGTTATCGTTGGCAGCTTAGCAATATTTTTAGCATCACAAGATCCTTTAGAAAATACATAGATTCCATTATCTTCGCCTCCAAAAGGTTTTAATTTCATAATTTTAGCAATTTCCTGCACAACTTGTTGCGGGGCAAGCATAAAAAGTTCATCATCTAATATGGTCATTGTTTTATTTTTAGCTCCAGCACATTCAGTATCTCCAACTTTTACACACTGTACATTAACACTCCAGTCAGATTTCCCTGCTAGGGGGGCATAACTATAGTCACCACAGTTTTTATTATCTTCTCCACCGAACGTTATTAAACCAACATTTTTTTCGTTTTGTGAAGGTCTTAAAATTAGAAAAAATTTTTTTTTTCAAATTTAAAAAAATTGAAAAAAATTTTTTTTTCAAATTTAAAAAATCAAACATTTCTAGTTTTCCATTAGATTTTGTATAAAATGTCAAAATTGGTTTTGGAAAATTTTGTGTTAAATATTGTAATGGAGACTTGGTATTGGCATTATCTGATGAGCTAGAAAGACCCAACAATCCACCAATATTTGCCAAACTACTTGAATAAGTAGCAGGTAAAGAATCAAAAACAACTAAAGGCACATTTGGTATTTTGACACCGCAGATCTAGGAGTTGAATATGTAAATGAAAATTTATCAAGTAACTTGGGTGTCTATAATCCATATCCTTAAATTTCTAGTCCTTAAATATTGTAAGGATGATTCACCTAGCAGCATCTAAAACGCTTAAGCGGGGATTAAACGTACTATAAAGAGAAAAGGTGAAGCATTAGTTAATTGTTGCCCGGAGCAAGGCCGAGCGAGACTATCAAAGTTGTCACAGGTAATCTTGCCCGGTCTTATCAAACTTGCTTCTAATGATATGGAGGAGTAAATGTTAAAGTTGTGATGAAATATTTTATAAAACTAACCGATACTTGACTGTTCACCAAAGGCCCTTTAACACCGGCATCTTTAATTTCAACTAATTTATTGAGTGGTTTCAATAAAGATTCAGATTGTTTTTCCTTTACAATCCAAAAATCAGGCAAACCCGTAGCAAAAGTTAAGGTAACGTTTTGTCCCCCAACATTGAGTACTCCACATTTTTTATAATTATTTCGGTCCATTGGTATAGAAACAACACCATTTGAAGAAGTTTGAGGTATTATTCCAGTTAAAGATGGTTGGAAAAGGAAAGGAAGAATTAAAAGGAAATTGAAGATTGAGGGCGTTTTGGGCATTTTTTGGTAATTTTTTTTGGGATTTTTCAATTGCTTTTTAATAAAAAAAGAATGAAAA